ACTCACAGCAGCCGTGGCTGGCAGAGCTTCTTGGGGGTTAAATTCTGCCATAGCCAGGCCCACAGAGAACTGTATCAACAGAGATATTTTCCACAGAAACTCACTCTAATCCACTTCATCCTGCCAGGCCCTCACTGCCTGCTGCTCAGGGTAACAGCGGGCTGCAAGACCCCCCAGCTTTGCCTGTGGTCAAAGTGGGATCAAGCCTTTAACCAAAGCAAGTTCTGCTGCCTGCAGGGCGTTATTCTGTCAGTGGTGCTGCTCCTTCCCAGCAAGGGCTGAGACTCAAACCACTCTGCACCCTACGTGCATTTGCTGGGCTGGGCCAGAGCAGACTGGAGAGCAAAACTGCTGTGTGCTGGGACTGGCAGCTGCTGGGCATCCTGCCCCCACTCTTTTTACTTTCTGCAAAGCCTGCGAAAACTTTTAGGTTCAGATTTCTGGAAAATTCAATATTGATGCCTATCCTTTTTCTCTGCGCAATGGGGCTGGATTTCACTGCGAGCTCTTACACGCTAAATTCTTGTAACCCCTAAGGAATATGCATGAATAATGAGGTGTAGCAAACCATTTAGAGTGGCACCAGACGCTTAATGGCCTCACATAATTTCCAGGTGTGATGAAAGCATCCAACTTCTGACTGATTTAATTCACAGTTCTCTTAGTGCCTAACATAGAGCTCAATCTCAGGGTCTCACCCTTAGATATGTGTAAAGGAAATGAGCAGTGTAAACCCAAATGGCACCAGAAATAGCAGAATTGTTTTCTTCCCATTGATCACTTACCTGTGCAGAACAGCTTCATGCTGCAAGGTGGAATAGTGATTCTCAGCTGTGTAAAACTCCACTATATTTCCCTTTCAAGAGATTGCATAAGTGCTTTGATAACATGGCAAATCCTATAACAGGGAAGTCCTGTCTGCACAGGAATTGCACACTAGTCCTATACACCACAGCCTGCAATACCTTTATTTCTGAAGTCCAGGAAACCCTGCATTGGACGGCCATGGAATTAGTAATGTACAGCTGAAAATGTATTTTTGGCGAGATGTTAATTTCTAAAAGTACCCTTTCCAAGCTTTGTTATTGCAAATGTGCTATTAATCTTCATTAGTACAGATTCAGTGCTTTTGGGAGCTGTTTAAATGAATGATACTTTAAAAACTCTTATGGTGGAGCAATTAGAGAAGTACTGGTTTTCTGATAAAAGGATACACCTGAATGCTATTTTTTATTATCAGGGGATGAAGGGAGGGGAACCTGGGCTTGGTATTTGAGATTCTGGGAAAGAGAGAAGCTTTTCATTCTGTTGTGCTTTGGGCTTCTTTTGTAACTATTGTGAAATCACTTGAATTTAGATAGATTCTCACATTGCTGTGACTTGACAAATTATTGCAGACCACTGAGTCATGATCCCTGTCTTGATGCAGGTGCTCAGCTCTCCCTTCGTGTAAGGTCTTGTTGCCTTAGTGAAGTTTCCCTTGCTGCGTGCTAAGCTGGGTCTGACAGATCTGCACTCTCAGAGAGGTGAGAGCCCTCACAGGGGTGGCTCCTCCAGGCTGGGCGCTGCACGGTGGCTTACTGGTGCCACTGGCCACTCTGTAAAAAGTGACATAAATTCACATTTCACTCACCCTGTGGCTGGATCCAGATGCAGGAGGGCCAGCCTGAACATAAGCCAAGGGTCTGCCTTGCGTGGCTGCTGTTTCTCTGTGTCAATCAGTTGAACTTTGTGGGTTGTAGCTCTGTGGGTGGTCACAGAGCTTGGCCTTGGTGTGAATCCACCTCTGCATTGGGAAAGGTCACATATCCCCAGCAAAGAGGTTAATTGTGAGGAAAAGTGCAGAGAATATCAATCTCAGAAAATGCTAATTGTACTTCAATATTGCCATGAAAAATTCATCCCTTACCCATTGTTGGCTCACAGGCTAAGAAGCAGGTCAGAATAATTTCTGGAGGAATTTGAATCAAAAGTAGAGTTCTGATTTGGTTGGTTTGATGTTTTTTCTTTCCCCCCCTCAGATTTTACAAAACTAAAACCGCGCTTTTCCACAGACAGTAACCAACACCAAGCACTAGCACACAATGATCATCTTATTGACAAATTAAGGTGAGTGCTTTGAAAAGAAAGTGTCAGCTGCTATGGAAGGGTAGAGCTGAGCCTGGATTTAAGAAAGAATTTGCTGTATTTTCTTCTAGGACAGTATCTTTTATTGTCAGGCTGACCTGGAGGAAGCATTGGGTAGGGACATGGAAGTCCTGAACTGTAAGATTGGTGGCTGCTCCAGATTAGGTAGATGACCTTAGAGAAGGCACATCCCATCCCTTTGTCTCCATTTCTGGTAGGTAATTACATCCCACTGCTGTAAAGTGCAGTGAGACCTTCCAGCAAGAGGTGTTATTACTATCTTTATAACAAACATACCATGCACTGTGTTAGCATCACAGGTGCTGCAGCTCCAAAGGCCTGGAGCCCTCCATGGACAGGACACAAAAATTAACCTCAAGCCATCATCCCTTGCCTTCCAGTTCAACCTGATTTCCTGGGTATTTGTATGGGAAAGAATGGGCTGGGCTTAAGTGATACACAAGGTAGCTGAGATCATGTCTGGGGAAGGCAAATGTTAAATAAAGATCACCAGTGTCACTTTTGGTTTCCATAGTGATACTACAAATAGCAAAAGCAAGCCAAAGAAGATTGCACGAGAGCATTAAAACTGCTTCTCTCCCGTCCTGAGGCTGTGAATCTGTCCACTTTGGCATGCAGGTGTAGCTTCAGGAGAGCATCAAACATGACCATGGCAGGAGAGCAGCACAGATGGTGCTGAGCCCCCTGGGCCTGGGGCCTCTTGCTCTGGGTGTTCTCCTGTCTCCTCGAGATTCGGAGATGCACAGAGGAGTTTGTTGTGATACTTGTTCTCTACCATCCCACCCTGTAAGAGAAATGGAAAAATAACACTCTGAGAGTCCGCAGTCTGGTAGGACCTAGATAAAGTAGAGTGAAATTAGAAATATGGAGGAATGAAAGCAGGGAGAGATGGCCTTGGTCTAAGTCTTCAAGAGGTTACAATACCATGACATCAGCAATTGTTATTCCAGTACAATTTTTTTTGATTTTTAAATTTCTGTTGTTGCAAACCCTGCTCCAAGTTGCCTCTCTTTACTGGAGAAAGTAAGACAATTTTCATGAACATGTGCTTTGACTGGTTTGCATTCTAAACAAACCAATCAGGAGACTTTATAAAGAGATATTATCTCCACTATAGCCACTTACAGATGAGGGGAATGTTGTGGAGTTGACAAAAATGAGAAAATAGTGTTTTCAGGTAATGCCAAGGCTGTAAATTTTTGGTTGCATTTCTCTTTATTTGAAGGTGATGAGAGAACAAGAGAGACCTTAGGGAATTTGGGACAAAACAGATCACTCTCATAAAAAATCCTTATTGAAACACCCCCAGTGTCGCAGGATGCTGCCAAGGAGTTGGATGGGCTAGTGTGAGCCATGCTGAGTCCCAAGTCAGAGACCTGAGCTAGCTCTGAACAAACTGGTGCAGCTGTGTCACACAGCACAGTGTCACACAGAGCGTGGGGCTCTGCCATGTCAGCCTGGACATGCAAATGGCTTCTGCATGTATTTCATCAGTACTGATTCACTGATGGGTTATTCACATTCATCTGCTGTGGGACTGTGCCAGCCCCACAAGGAAGCTCCCTCAGCATGAGCACTGCTCTCTCTGGTGTGGACAAGTGGTGGCAGGGAGAGTTTGGCCAGCAGAGATGAGTGTGGGCAGTAACTGGGCTTCTTTGTGTGCAAGTCATCAGCATGTGGTGGGCTAAGTGGAAAAACTGTGAAGTCTTCAAGAACAAATTCTGTGCCCAGAGCCATGATGAGACCATGATCAGACTGGGTAATGGTCAGTTAGGTCAAATGAGAGTGAGCCTGATTGCACCCCAGTTCATGACAGCACGGAGTGGGGAACAACACTGGGCAGCAGCACCTGTGAGCCAGGCTGATCCGTCATTCACATCACAGCATCTTTGTGTGCTCATGTTCTTTGCAGCTCCTCCTGCTCTTGTCTTGGTGGGTGTATTAATCATCTCTTCGTTGTGAGACTAATGAACCTATTACCAGAAATTCTGATGATGATTTGGGAAAATCAATTAAATAAAGAAAGACTGTTAGCACACTACCTTGGAAGGTCACTGGTAACAGAAGGAATTATTTTCCTCTTGTCAATGGTATGGCTGGAAGCTGTTAATGTCATGCAGCACTGAGTGATGTGGAACTTGCCAAGTTTTATTCTAAGGGCTGGTGTCTGTATCAGAATCCTTGCCACTCCAGTGAACTTATGGGAAGGAGTGGAAAAGGAGGGAAGATAATTTTTTTTACAATATTTGCGTGATTGGTATTTTAGCAAATTCTCTGGTTTTTTATATGAACTGAAACACCAGCAGTGTGGCCTTGGGTGTTCAAACATCGGCTGTTCTCTGCCAATGTAAGTACAATCCAGGTATATTAGGTAGGTGACCTGTGGAGATAGGGAAGTTTTCATGCTGCTGTACAAGGAACTGGCAAAATATCTGGAAATGGAAGTGCACTGCATGGTAGTAAGGCTCTAAAAGTTATTTGAGTGCAGGCTGGCAGTGCTTGGGCAGTTCTGTAGGTCTGAGCAAGCAACTTGGACTGTCAGAGCAAACAGCCTCCCATGTTGTTTGTCACAAAGTGCCTGTGGAAGCCTTACCAGAACACCCTGTGCGTGCCAGGGAGTGCTGCCCTGCGCTGCCTTTGAAGGTGCCACAGAGCCTTTGGCAGGAGAGCAGGAGATACTGCAGGAATGCCCCAGGGGCTGTCCTGCCAGCCTGGGGAAAGAAGGGACAAGGGAGCCACCCAGATCAGAGCCGACTGAGCCGCTAAGTTCTCTGAGGCTACAGTTGCAGGACAACTTCCCTGGAACCTGGCAACTTGGCATCGTATTTAGATAGTCTGCTGGGCTTCCTGTACACCTGTGTATTCTCACTGAGCAGCATGAAAGCATTTTGGCAAGCACCACAGGTAAAAGTTCCCTCCTGTTACTAATAATCTTGTTCCTGCATTTTAATTTAATTTCCCCTATCGTTCCTTCTATTTCCACTGCACATTTCCCCTTGAAAGCTAAGATTGCATGAACGGATGGATATTTTTTTCTCCCCAAGTGCATGTAGCCTTTTCTGCTGTTTGAAGAAATGAACATTTGGGTTGAAGTGCACCTGCAATTCCCATTAATGTAGCAAAGTGAAACCAGTCCTCTGGTGGAAGGAAATAAGCTCTGAACTCCCTTCCTCTGACAATGGATCTGGTGAGGAAAAGAAAAAGCCCCAGAAGATGGCAAAGAAATCTGCTTTCTATGCCTGGGCAGTTTGTAGGGTGTGTGGCTGCTGATGGAGCCTGCATGCCATCAGGAGCTTTGCTCTGGACAGGAATACAGTGCAAGCACCCACAATTTGTTTAAGTGATTAACTTGTGCTGGTATCACCCAAAGATGTGTGACCCGGAGGGATGAGCTGAAAACTTCTGCAAATGAAACTGTGTACGTGGAAGCTGTATAGGTTGTAGGAAAAGGAAAAATGAGGGGATGGGGTGAGGGAGAAGAAGTGCCTTCTTGACTTAATTCTTCTGCTGAGGGGAGGAGGTCAGCAAGCACCTTTTGCTGTGGGTGTTTATGTCCTGATCAGCCATGCAGGGCACTTTATATCTTACCATGCAGGTGCATTTTAGGATTTCTGTTTGGATAGAAATGTGTTGCATACCAGTGAAGAAAGCTAAAACAGAGAAGAGGCACACAAAGAAGAACAATGGTAATTTTGTTGCTTAATAGTGCAATGCTGGGGTGTAATTCTGGTTCCCCAATCCAGTAAAAAAAAGTTAAATTGTCACAGAATCTGTGCGTGAAGAGCAAGTGGAAAATAAAAGTTTTAAACAGTTTAAGTCCAATATTCCAGTCGATTATTCTTAGCAAAGTGATTCAAGTTATTTATTAAGAATGCATTTTGTGAGGAAATAACTCCTCTGTTTTGTCCTGGTCTATCTGTTCTTTCCCAGTATACTTGGTTTTTGCCAGATAATTTGGACAGGCACAGATGCAGCGTCCTTCTACTTTGTTCATGTAAGCTGATCCTCGTTTCATGTTTGTGGCATGTCCAGATGATGGAGTATTTTCCTCCTTTCTGAAAGGAGGGACTGAAGTGCTGTGAAACTGCTGGTAAGGCTCACAAAAGAAAGGTTTAACGTGGGTGAGGAATAAGACAAAGTCTCCAAATAAGACCATGGGTTCCAAGTGTTTTGCATGCTGTGTGCTGTTAGTGGATCAAGTCTTGGAAGGTTGCTGGGGACAGCAGGGGTGGAGGAAGGATGCTCATGCTCTGCCATGAAGTGTTTATCTGAGCTTTACCTTCCAGCTGGGCTTCTCCTTCCTGCTCTCTTAATAAGATTGTGAAAACCCACCTGGTGTTTAGGTATCTTGCTGGCTCAGGTTGCTAAAGATAAAAGCAGTGTGTAGGACAAGGTTTCTCTTATCCAAAAGGTGGATCTATTTTGCTTCGGGTACTGCAGGAGCTGACTCATGAGGAAAAGATGAAAGAGTTCAGAAAGGAGATGGCACCAAACTGATTACAAAGTGGCCACAGAGAGCCTTTTGCAAGAGTTGCAGGAAATGGGAATCTTCAGGCCCTCCACCTATGCTATTTCATCTCTTGTTCTGAGGGCATGAAGGCTGTATGTGTCCCTTCAGTCCCTGGCAAGGCAGCTCATGTTGATGAGATTCTGTGGAGGAGCTTCAGCCCCAGTTTGTCCCAAACAATTATGTGATTGCTCCTTATTAGGACCTGTAATGTCCTTCTTCTGCTTTAGCCATCCCCTCAGACCTCTGCTGCTGACAATGCCTCAAGATTATTACGTAAAAGGGCTTTGTTCTCAGCTCTTCTCCAGGGTCGGGGCCTGTGAGATCCAAAATACTCTTCCAGCTCTCCCCTCTGTGTGCAGCTGGTAGGGAGTGCTGCCTCTCTGCCAGCTGGAGCTGATCAACATCATTTGCCTCACACCTTATATCTTTTCCAAAGGAGGGGTCTTGCTCCTTTGTGCTGACACATCAGCTGGGGACTGAGTTCAAGTAGCATTGCACATCTCCATGGTGGGGCAGCAGCCTCAAGAACCAGCTGCTGCAGCACTTACCCTCTTCTGTGCAGAGTTCCAGACACACTTGCATGGTAGTCTTCTCTGTGTCAGGCACCCAGAGGATTTTACGTTGATGTAGGAAGGATGGGCAGGAAGATAACACAGTCTTTGTGAGTGATAGATATGATGCACATTTGTGTAGTTTGAATTTCAGCATCTCAGCATTTCATCTGAAAATAGGCAGAAGGAGCAGAGGAGGCTGCAGCATGGGAAGGAAAAAATTCAGAACAGAATTTCAGCCTGCAAGATAGCTGGATCCAAACTGTGGTTTTCCCTTTCCTATTTCTTTCTTTAGAATAGGAAATGAATCCCATATTCCAAACTGTATTCCTCATATAAACCAGGAGTAGCAGTTAAAGCTGAAAGGGGGAAAACAGGAGCAAACCTGGGCCTTCAAAGTTCAATGGGAACTGGGGCTAGTGAGTGCAGGCTGTTAAAGGCAGCATTCCTGGTATCTCAAATTGCTGCTCACTGTTGCATTGGCTCTCAGTTGCAGGGACTGATGCAGCAATGCAGTCTGGGCTTGCAGTTTCTAGATCAGGGCAATTGCAGACCCCAGCAAGCCAGAGTGGAGGATCTGAAAGGAGAACAGGGAAAACGAAAATTGAGAATGAAAAAACAAATCACAGTCCAACTGCCAAATGTTCCCAAGCCACAATTGTCTTTGGCACCCCTCCACCCCCCAAGGTCTCCAATGGTTCTTGGGCCTCCATCACGAGAAAATCAGTGGTTTAAAAATACAATAATTAAAGAAAATCTTGATGTCATTTGGGTTTGGGAGTATTTGGACATTAATGTTGTGTGAGCGTGTTTGCTCATGTACACCCTGCTTTGCTGAAGCCTGAGCTATGCAAGGACCCTGGGGGAGAGGGAGGATGTGCCCACCTGTTCTCATTCTGAGAATCCTATTGTTATCCTATTTCAATTATAAAATTGATCTTAGCTCGTCAATTTTTTTACTTTTACCCTTGGAAGCTTCTTATTCCCCTGCTGGGGTCAGGGAGTGAGTGACTGTGGTGCTTTATTCCTGGCTGGGTTAAACCATGACAGCAATGAGTAAAGGGAACACACAGTAGCAACCTGGGCTCAAAATAAAGATACAGACCTGCATGTGCTTTAAAAAAAGGATAGATTTTTCCTTCAGAAATGTGGGTCTAAAGGTTAGAAAATCCTGCTTGCACTGTTGTAGACTATTGCATCATTTCAGACTGGTGTCCTGCTGGCCAGCAGCAGTTAGGTTCTTTACTTGCTCTCTGGATTAAGTCCCAGAAGTGGTATTTTATTAATGAGTAAATTGCAACTCAAGTCAAATTTATGACAGAATACTTGATCTAGAGGATACTGAAAGAAAACTAAAGAAGTGAGCCTTCAAGAAACTTCAGTATAAAATATTGCTTCTCTGCAGATTGGTCTACAGATTTATGTACAGTGATGCCAGACTGCACTCACATACACTGACTTCCATCAGGGATGGATGCTGTATACCAGCTGCTGGTACCCAACATGCAATTTTTAAAAATTTTTAAGTCCCTAAAAAGTTATTAAAATGACCTCACTAGTTACAAAGGAATTGTATGAAGAGCAATTAAAATGTCAGATAGATATTTGCTATATCAAATGCCAAGCCACATAGCTTTGCTTAATGAAATCAGTTTCCAGTAGAGTTCATAACACCATCAGTGACCTAAGCAGTGCACCTGACAGCTTGCCTGCCATCTCGAGCTGTAAATCTGGGTAACTAATGGTATATTGAAGAAGAAAAGGTCAATAAATGCAGAAATGTGGAGAATCTAATCTTTCCCTGGCACTTGTTATTCCTCCCTTCTTGCTCTCCTTTCATTCTATAATCTGTCACATTAAACTAGTCATGCTTGGCCAGAGCCTGATCAGGACAAGTTCCTGATAAAGCTGCCTCTGTTCTTGCCACACATCATCAGATGGACTGCAGCCCTAGAAACCTCTCTTCTGGAAATGCAGTTTAAGAAGGAGCCATAAATGTATGTAAATGTATTAAATCTGAGGAAGAGAAGGGAGAGATTACAGGAGTCACTCATCTCTCTTCATGCACAATAAAAAAGGTTTCATGAGCTTGGTTTTGCTCTGAATAAAACTGCTGCTGTTGAGAACAGAAATGTCTTAGGCTTCTGAACAGCAGAGCTGGTAGTTTTTCTGTCTGCCAGCACATTTTTTCCCTGCTTTGTCCAGTCCAGAAAGAAATGACTCAGTAAAAAGGACTTCCTTCCTCTCCCTTGGGTGATTATTCCACAGCCTATTAGGTCTCCCCATTAGGAAATATTTCCAACATCGTTTTTCCTGCACTTACTTTTAAAGCATATTCTATGACTACAAATTATCCTAAACAGTGCCCTTCCATCATTAGGTTTCCATTTCTCCTGTGCTGCTCTGTGGTTATCACATGTCCTGTAGCATTTCACTGGTGTTTGGTGTTTGTTTCACAGTTGGGCTGCAGATGTTTAATTTATTTAACCTTTCCCTGTATGCCAAGCACAGGACTGGCATCAAGACATTTTTACACCATTAAACAAGGGAGGTGCCTGCTAAATGTAATGATTTTCTTCTGGTGGTAGATGTTGTGCTAGAGAACAAGGGCAGCTTCTATTCTAAACTACGTGGAAAAGGTGCAACTGCTGAAGAAGAATTACTTATAAACAGACTATATAGAGAAGTACATTAATTTAGCATCCAGCCATGATTTAAGTCCACAGGGGAAGCAGTTACATTTAATTGCCATTGGCCTCTCAAACAAAGACATTGCATATATGTGTGCACAAGAAATTCCAACCAAATGGAGGAACAAGTATTAGGTTTACTAGGATTCTGAA